TTTTTCAAACTTCGATAAGGCCGAAACATCTAAAGTATTGGCATCCCTGTAACAGGCCGTGGAGGCCCATAGGGCTGTGACACATCGAGGATGCCACATTTTCTAGACAATCGGCTCACAGATGGCGGGGAGGTTCTCACCATCCATACAGATTTGAAGCCATAATTCGTGTTATAAGTCCGTTGCCAGGAAACGGATAGCGTGTCCTAGTGATTTGCGAAGTGGGTAGATCAGTGGTGGCGCTATAATTGATTGTGATCAAGAGAGGCTGCACACGAAGCTGTCAATAAATCCAATCATCCAATCCAGAACCCGTTACTGTTGGTCACGGAACCCGGACACGTGACAATATTATCCTTCCACCTATGCCCACGTCTTCCTAGTAGCTTCTTTCCCTCTGGACTTCCTACCAAAACACTGTATGCATATTATTTTCCCCGATGCGTGGTACATGTCCTGTCCATCTCATTTTCCTTGCTCATTCTAGTTATATTTGATGAATAGCACAAGTTATGAAGTTCCTAATTATGCAGTTTAATCCAACCTTCTACTATTTCAACTCTCGTCGGCCCGAATATTCTCCTCAGTACACTGTTTCCAAATGGTATCAGTCTGTGTTCCTCCCTTAATGTCGGGAACCAAGTTTCACACCCATACCAAACCACCGAAAAAAATATAATTTGGTATATTCCAATTTCTAAGTTTTTAAACAGCAGAAGCGAAGGCAAAAAATGCGTTACATTTAAATACAAGCGACCATAACTGATCGACATTTCTTCGTTCGTTTGTTTGTTTTTGTCCTGTCTTCCTTTGTTGCTGTTGCTTGTATTCGTGCTGTCCCTGCAATTGACCACCGGCTGTTCAGTTCAGCACGGAAATAAACAAAGAACTGAATTGAACTGAATTATAATTATTATCACCTAAATGGTGGGGCACGCGATATCGTAGTTGGTTGAGGCACTATGCTACAAGCCGGAATGTCGCGGGATCGAATCCCTATGAGGTCATTGGATTTTTTCAATTGACCTAAACCTTCCAGCCGCACTATGGCCCTGGGGTCGACTCAATCTCTAATAGAAACGAGCACCAGGAATATTCCTGGGGGTAAAGGACGGGCGGCATGTAAGGCTGACAACCTTACCGCCATCTATGAGCCAATTGTCTAGAAAATGTGGGAACCTCAACATCTCACAACCCTATGGGCCTCCATAGCCTGTTACAGAGATAACTTTACTTTTCTTATTACCTAGGTGGTATTATTGCCCTTTTCATCTCTTGTATATGCTAAATTTTTGTGTTCTTCTTGTTTCTTTTACTTACTTACTTACTTACT